CTCCTGAGTAGCTGGGATTACAGGCACGCGCCACCATGCCCAGCTAATTTTTTGTTATTTTTAGTAGAGACGGGGTTTCACCGTGTTGACCAGGATGGTCTCGATCTGTTGACCTCGTGATCCACCCGCCTCGGCCTCCCAAAGTGCTGGGATTACAGGCTTGAGCCACCACGCCCGGCCAAGGTTTCCTGTTTTAATAATCTCTTAGCCTTGTCTCCTGCTGGTCAAATAACCCCTCTCTTCTTCTCCCAAGGAGCCTATTAAATAGTTGCCTTGAATTTTCTTTTTCCCCACAGTCCTAATCAGGTGAGCTTCTGGCAGGCAATATGCCTTTCAGGTTTGCTAACCACTTGCCCCTGGTGGTCACCAAATCTTACCAGTTCACTTGGTGAACAGCCTGGCCATGCCCGACTGTAGCCTCACCATCCTCACAAAGACCGGGGCTGCAGCAGCCTCACGGGCTCTCCCCCTCCCTGGCTCCCCTCCCTCCAGTCTGGCCCTTCTTATCCTGTGCACTTTGTCAAACTTGCCTACATGCCAGACTCCCTAGAATGACCCATGAGACCCTTCCCAAGCCAACCCCAGCCCATCTTTATGGCCTCAGATTCCACTGTGCATACCAGCTTCCACCTTCACAATCCCTTATCTTTTTCTGAAAACATTAATTTCTTCCACATTTCAGCTCTTCTCTCATTACAGTATTTTTTTTTTTTTTTTTTTTTTTTGAGACAAAGTTTCACTCTGTCACCCAGGCTGGAGTGCAGTGGCACAATCTTGTCTCACTGCAACCTCTGCCTCTTGGGTTCAAGTGATCCTTCTGCCTCAGCCTCCCAAGTAGCTGGGACGATAAGCATGTGCCATCATGCCCAGCTAATTGTTGTATTTTTAGTGGAGACAGGGTTTCACCATGTTGGGCAGGCTGGTCTTGAACTCTTGATGTCATGCTCTGCTCACCTCAGCCTCCCAAAGTGCTGGGATTACAGGTGTGAGTCACCATGCCCAGCCTCATTACAGTATTTTAATTTTAGTTAAAAAAAAAAATTTTTTTTTGGCCAGGCACAGTGGCTCATGCCTGTAATCCCAGCACTTTGGGAGGCCGAGGCAAGTGATCACTTGAGATCAGGGGTTCGAGACCAGCCTGGCCAACATAGTAAAACCCTGTCTCTACTAAAAATACAAAAAAATTAGCTGGATGTGGTGACATTCTCCTGTAATCCCAGCTACTCGGGAGGCTGAGGCAGGAGAGTCACTTGAACCTGGGAGGTGGAGGTCTCAGTGAGCAGAGATCACGCCACTGCACTCTAGCCTGGTGGATCCAGCAAGACTCCGTCTCAAAAAAAAAAAAAAAAAAAAAAATTTTGTTAGAAGACAGTCTTGCTATGTTGCTCAGGTTGGACTTGAACTCCTGGGCTCAGTCCTCCTACCTCAGCCTCCCAAGTAGCTAGGACTACAGGTGCGCCACCATGCCCAGCACACGTTATCTTTTAAAATTCATCTCAGTGTGAGTAGTAGGAGTAGTGACAGTAATTCCTAACATCCATCAAATATTTCCTGTGTGCGAGGCTCTACTGTAGGAGCTTCACATGTTTCAAGTCCTTTAATTCTTAGAAAACCCAGTGAGGTGTGATCCGCAATTCAGAGTTAGGGAAAGGATGCACAGAGAGGCTCAGAAACTTAGCAAGGCACACAGCAAGCTAGCATGCGGCAGAGTGGGAGTTTGGATTCAGGCCTGGCCCTCGTCCTGGCCCCCGCTGCGGGCTTTGCCATTGCTTCTCCGAGGGTGGCTCTGAGTGAGTTACTTCCTAGCTGCTGCAGTGATCTCCAGATGCACGATTCCGAAGTAGCCTCCACTGTATTCTCTCCCTTATCTGAATGTTCCCCTCCTGAGCTGAATGGGGTGACTACCTATTGTAAGGACACTCTGAATGCTGATCTTTTGTGTTCTTATCACTTCTAGTTCTTTGTACATTTGTTAGTTGGTTCCTCAAAGGCTTCTTCTCTTCCTCTGATTTTTAAGTTTGTAACAAATATCTACTTTGTTCTTTTTCATTTAATTTAATTAGCTATCAGGGAGCCCATTGGAGGGCCTGTACTTCTTGGGCCTGGGAATAGTGAACTGGCAGGGAGAGGGACAACATGGCCTTCTGGAAGAATCCTGGGAGCAGGGCCAGGAAATCTGGGCTCTGGGCCGGACTCTGCTATGCTGACTTAGGCACAGGACCCCCCCCACCTCACTGCATGCCTCAGTTTCCCTATGTATTAATATGGTTAAGGCCACAGGCTTTTGAGTCAGACCATCTTGGATTCCAGGCTCAGTTCTGCTACTTATTATTAATTTTTTGAGATGGAGTTTTGCTCTTGTCATCCAGGCTGGAGAGCAATGCCATGAACTCCACTCACTGCAACCTCCACCTCCCATGTTCAAGCGATTCTCCTGCCTCAGCCTCCTGAGAAGCTGGGATTACAGGTGGCCGCCACCATGCCTGGCTAATTATTTGTATTTTTAGTAGAGACGGGGTTTTACCATGTTGG